ACATAAATGCTCTTAAAGCTATTATGCTATCCTAAAGTTCTTTTCTTAAAGCTGTTATGTTATCCTAAAGTTCTTTTCTGTCAGACGGCTGGCGGTGTACATTTTTGTTTTTTTTTTTTTAAATTTGAAATCAAATCATTGGTTCAAAGAAATGAATAACATTGAACCTATCCACCTGTTCACATTGCTAAACTCATCTTCGAGTCACATTAAAATTTTCATTCTTATTTTTTATTCATTTTCAAACACACATTTTTCAATAAAATAATATTTTCTATCACACTAATAATTTTTCTTTCTTTTTCTTCAACACATTCTTTATCAATTTATTATTCCAAAATATATTTTTTCAAAATAATGTGGCTCAACTTGCAAAATATAAGCACAGTCTCCTACCAAAAAAAATAAATAAATAAACAAACAAACAAAAAGTCCCCTTCTCCGCTTGACTTTGGCTATCTCACACCTACATACACCTTTAACAATCACACACTTCGGACAAAAAGTGAAACATTTGACCAAAAAAGTAGTGGAAGTTGGGTGGAAGTTTCTTTCTATTTGTCCCAGCATAAATACCGCCGAGCATAAATACCCTGCCTCCTCTGGCCCTCTGAATTCGAGACAAAACACAACCTTAAGATTAGATCATTATGTCTTACCTAATTGATATCACCTTTTCTTCTCCAATTATAGCTAACATTCTCAAATCTATACTTACAGAGAATCATTCCAAATGGGATCCTTTTGATATACTTCGTGACATCTCCATTATGAAATTTTCTCTTATCGCTTTTCTTCTCTTTCTAGTTTCCTTTATTTTCATTGGAATCCCACTCACATTTTCTGGGATTAATACCAGAAACAAGTACCTGCTTATTCAAATCAAAAAAATTTCACCATGTCTAATGCTTTGCTTCCTGGCCTCATTAATCTTCCCAGTACTTCTCTTTTGGTATGTTTATCCCATATTTTTGCTACTCTTTTTATCCTGGCCGAGAATGTCTAGTATGTTGAGTGGCTTTGTTGAGATGGTTCAATTAATGCTTTCTACAATTGCTGATCGGGTCATATTAATTAGTGTGATGAAGATTGAAGATGAGCCAAACCCGTATGAGCAAGTTTAGTTCAAAATTGAACCTGCAAACTTTGAATTTGTTAGTCATTCGGTGTTCCTTTCATTTTTCTCTATTTTTATTTGGGTCGGATTTGTTCAGTGTAAGCTCATGCTAAACTTGTATCGTATTGTCTTTCTATCCAAAGAAATTTATAAGTTAACTAAGTGCCAAACCAAATGCTTTTTTAACAATTTTAAATAAAACTCTCAAATAGAAAACTGAAA